TAATTTTTCGTACACAAGTTCAACCCCGGATTTTGATTTAGATATTAATTCTTCAACTTTCTTATTTTTAAGTTTTGTCAATAAAGTATTCGAATAAAATGTTCACTTTAACAACTTATATACATAGTTAAAAAATATATCAACTTAGGGTTCACCCTGTATACGTACATTGAACTTCGGCCACTCTGTACTGTCGGAAAACAGTAAACTACACCTCCGAAACAGAATCAATATCCGCTCGGAGCGTTGAAGAAATTTATGCCCGCTGGTATATTGCCAATCAATAACACTCGCGATGTAATAAAGTTGAGCATCTACCCTCCAGATGGCACAACAAAATTTAAAGTATACAGAAAAGCAATTTCGTTTAAAATATGGGACTTGAAAAGGAGTTTTTATACTTTTTTGGTTTAATAATACCGGAACGAAATATTGTGTAGGGGAACACATAGATACAGTGCTTTCGTAAAGTACTGAATAAATTTAGTTTTAGGTAATCTATGAATTTTTATTGAAAATCCAATTTTTAATAATTATTTTCTACATTTTAAACAAAAAGTTGTGTAATTGTATACCTACAGGATGATGAATATGGTAGTAATCAGTGTTGCCAGATTACACGATTAATCGTGTAATTACACGATTTCAGTTCTTTTGACACGATTACACGAATCAAAAGCCAATTCTCACGATTTTTAAATTCTGCTAAAGAAATCGTCACTTTTAATAAAAATCTGAAACTTCAAAACCATTCAACATTCAATTAAATATAATTAAATTAAGTCACTATATATCAACTCCGCCCCTGCTTCTGTTTATCATATTCACGGTCATGCAGATATTTTCAGGCGATCAAGTTGTCGAAACTACTGATTAATTTTGGGAATCCCATAGAGCCAATTTATTCTCGTGTGCGTGTGTTCTGGGTACTTCCCACAATTTTTATATTACTTTAGCTGCACTTTTAGCAGAAGCAAATCGTGTTCGTAATTGTTTTAGTCAAGGACGGCGATGTTTTAGTATTTTATTCCGATTGAATACAAAAATATTTTACATTCGATTAAAGTAAAATGCTTAGATTTTTATTTGGAAAGTACAAATCAAATATTACTTAGATTTCCTTTAAAAAACTCCGCCATAGAAAAATTGAAGTTTTTGGATCCTGTTTGTGTAAAATCCAAAGAAAAACACAATTTCTGACGTAGCATCGCTTTTTCCAAATTTAGTTCATCCTAAGAACTTCAGGATCTTTATAATGAATGGAGATCGCTAAATAATTATCCACTAGATGATATTGAAAATGATGTTGTACCATTTTGGAAGGAAATTGCCAATGTGAAGATGGGAGATTCGCTAAAATTTCCAAATTTAACTAAGTTCGTTTTTCAAGTTCTTTGTTTGCCTCATTCTAGCGCAGCTGTAGAGAGGATATTCTCCCAAATCAATCTAATTAAAACACGGTTTCGCAATAAATTAAAAACTGAAACAATAGAAGGTCTTTTGTACACAAAAAGTTTTATGGAAAACAAGACATGTTACGAATTTACTTTAAATAAAAATGTTACGAAAAAATGTCGCTAATAGTAGGCTATTATATTTAGGTAAAACAGAAAGTAAAGACTCCAGCGATTCCGAGTCATCTTCATAAGATAGTTTTAAAATATAGGTACCTAGTTATGTTCGTATGTCGCTCTGTATATATTTTATTTGTTGTTTTAAAAATAACACAGTTGTACTCTCCGTTGTATTTGCATTTATAAAAGTAAAAAAGTTGATATCGCAATAGAATTTTTTCGATAAATAATACGTATTTTATAACTTGTTTTTATGTATTTTTGAAAATGAAGATACTTTCACGACTTTACACGATTTTTGGCAGCCGAGTTACACGATTCTCTTCGCACTTCATCTGGCAACACTGGTAGTAATGACATCGGCAACAATGTCTTTAAATGGGACATTCTATTATTCAATTCTTGGAATACCCATGGAAAGCTGAATTTAAAAATATATATCACATATAGGATTTGTATGCGCGATTTTGTTAATTAATGGATTAATTCGTTGAAAATTCAAGGAATAACTTTTGAAAAAACCCTCGAAGCCGTAGTAATGACTACGTAGTAAAGCCATTTTAAAATTATTTTTAAATGGCTAACATTGTTTTTATGTCGACATATGTCTCTTGATATTTGAAAAATCTCTTAAATTTCATATATAGAGTAATATTAAAATATAATGTCATACTTACCAGATTTGGCACCCTGCGATTTAAATTTATTTTTAAAATACACGATGTTACATAATGCGACACAAATATTCTGGTATTTCTAATCAAAATTCGCAATTAAATAACTAAGTTTTAGTAAGTCACAACTGTGGTTAACATTTTTTGACTAAATAGGTGTCGCCTTCAAATATATCAATTGCATTATGTTACACCCTGTATATCTAAAAAAACGTTCATTCATTCTTCGTCATTAAAGAGTTTTTCCAAATTACATTCCAATTTTATCCAACCATCTAATTATAATCATAAAAAATTATACAATAGGATCGTTTACAATTCTTATTAATTAAAAATGCATAGCATATTACTGTGAATATTTAACAAATTTTACGGTTGACCTTGTATTTATTTTTAAATTAAACATAATTTTTGAAGTCAATAATATAAGAAAAAATAAAAATCAATTATTACTGATGAGAAATATAGTTAAACAATTATATATTCTGGAAACACACTGTAGATGGCTGTGGGATAAAACTGAATTATTCATTGGACGATGAAGTTTATTGCAAATCAAGAGAAAACCAAACAAAAAAATATAAAAAAAAGAAGACAGCTTTCAGAGAGATCTAGCATTATTTACTATATGTAATATTAAACACAAGTTTTTTACATTGTTTCCTCAGGTCTTATGAACTCAATAATTTTTTAAATCGTTAAAAAACATTTTTCAAATTTAAAACTTCATAATGAATAAATACATTGTTCATAATGTCGGTATATTATTTAATCTAATATTCAAAATGATATGCAACGTTTACATAGCAAAATTGTAGATAATTGCATCATCTGAATTTAAATTCGTCTTTGCTATGTTCTTTAGTTTTCAGCTACACATTTACAGAAACATCTTACAGATAAATATGTATGTATATTTCTACAAAAACAGTAATTTGAATATGTAAAGGCAACATTCAGTTCATATTAAATTCCGTATACAATTAAGTTTCAAATTGTTTTCAAAATTAAATACGAAATTGTGAAAATTTAAGAATGTCTATTTTCGCAATCTACACTTGATTATGTTAGTTGAAAACCTGACTGGAGTTTTGCTTAGTATTTCTCTAGAAAATGTAAAATGATCAATTACAATATATTTCATATTATTGTTAAATTATTATTAAAATATGACAAAGTTATCAAAATCTCTTTTACTAGAACCCTCTATAGTCTATCTACTCAATAAAAAAAGAAACATATATTGAGGGTAATCTATTAGTGTGAAAAAGTCAAATACCTCTGACAAAAAATACCTTAACAGAATATTTTTTTAAAATCCAAGGTTCATTACCTTCATTCTGGAACAAACTTATATTCTATTAATCGGATCACCCTGTATTTTTTTTATATTTGAATTTCCATCGCGTTTTCAATTATAACAATACCAAATAATAAGGGATTACACAGGATATATGAAAATTGTATTAATTTCAATGACTTGTTTATTGCAAAACAAACAAATGAAAAACATCAGGTAAGACATCTCTTAATAATCATAATATATCAAAATATAAATATTTTATACAAAAAAATGCATTTATTTTAAAATAATATGGCTAAATTTCACCTGATTAAAGGTTTAATACAACGGCAATTGTGATTGAAATGTTAAAAAGAAATTAATTGGTTTGTTTGATCTGTTCAATATTTACTTATACAACCAGAACAATCAGAGCTTTAAATATTTTTATATAAAATTCACTATTAAAGTAGATTGTATTTACTTATCATCTTTGTCTAACACATAAAAACGAGAAAAAATATAATGTAAGAAAACTATTTTCCTAATTTTACAGTACTTTTTGTCAAAAGTGACAACATTGTCTTTTCATTTCAGATTTTGTTGTATATCGCGTCTTAAAAGAGCGTTAAAGAACAATAGTATCCTATAAGGTAATTACAAAACTATGCTAATTAATTATTTGATATTGTAGTGTTTTCAACAGAATAAAGGAGATAGAAAATAAATCTTAGGTTATGTCCATGTGATTTTAAAGGACTTTTTAATGTTTCTAAAGTATGTTTAAAATAGTTGAAACTATCGGAAATAAACGGAAATAATTGACTATAGTTGCAGTACAATGGGAAGATGATTGGTTATGGCACTTTGTTTTAGCACAAAAAATAATTTGCTTACAAATTACAGCGAGATATGAGCGAGATACGAGTTTGACTCGTTCTTCACTGTGGGTTGCTTAAATGTAATTAATTTTCTTTGTATCGCCCAATTTTTGAGTTAGATGCAAATGAAAAATCAAAAACGTATTTACAACTTAATACAACGTTGCCCTTCTCTTTTCACCAATTTTTTAAAAACAACAATATTACTAGTTCGTAAGTTTAAACCAAATTCTAATTTTTTATATTTCTTTTATTTTTGCAACTGGTGACATAATGAATTTTTCGAAAACAGTTTCATAATCTTCAACATTAGGTTACTAGTTGCGTAAAGTAGATCATTTTGACACTTGCTGCGATAACAAAAAAAAATCATTTATATGTCAAAATTAGAAAAAATTAAATACTTTTAAAAGAAACATAAGTTTGTTTCATACCAAAATGTTTTAATTATAACTCTAATAGTGTTGGAATAATAAAACTTCTTCACACTACCTGATCACCCTCCGAACACAAAAAGCAGAGAAAAAGTGAAGAAAAAGAAAACACCACACGAAACATATACCAACTCGTATTTACATAGATGAAGCACCTGGGAATCTGCAACGCCACCTCGTCCAAGGAGTCGCTGGGCGTGAGCGGCTGCCTCTCGAAGAGCCTGCTGGGGGCCAAGGTCAGTGCCGAGTTGCCGGTGTATCGATGTTGGCGTCGGTTGGTGCTGCGGCGCTGCTGTTTCTGCTTCTGTTGCTGCAACTTCTTCTTCTTGTCCTCTTCGGCGGCTCTGCGCAGATTGTGCAGCCGGAAGAAGTACATAGACATTCTGGGGGAAGTCAAATCGGTGATAATTTTTGTAATGGTTACGTTTTTATTTTTACATTTAAATTGGGCACAAAAATTACAGTAACAGTAAAGAATACGTCTATATTTGAGTCCAGGAAATGGATTATTAGGTACAGTATTCAGCTAGAAAAGTTCCGGACATGCTAGTGTACTAAGCTCGTTTTGTACACAAAAGAAATCAAATTTGAACAGTGAATTTATACAATATTCCAATAACTATGTACATGAGACTATTCGTCAGATCCAGTAGAGTTTTTGATCTCAAGAGGTTAATGCAACATTTTCAAAAATCTAAAAATGTCCATAAAAAATTTTGTTTTTAGATTATTTTTTCATAAATCAATGCTTGCTTTCTGTTCATTTCCAGATAAAAATATGAAAAAACGCATTTAATTTCAAATAACTAAAAATTTGGCGCACATTTGTCGATAAATTAATTTTGTTCATTGTGTCTTATAATACCTATATAATAATAATAATATTCCTTCTTAGAACAGCATTAATATAATACTCCTTGTATTGCTACATAATTTGTATCTTAAAATAAAACGTATTTGTATTTCGATAAGCTTCTATACATAATTCGTGCTAATATTGCTAAAGTTTAGAATAGTTCATTGCAAGCAAAATGTTTAAAAATAAAAAATATTTAATCAAAATTTTCATATTCATCGCTCCATCCACAGCAACTTGGTCTTATACTGTATATTGTTGGGATATGAAAATTAGGTCTCTAATACTGTATTCTCGACCATAACCTGCCATTCCCTATAAAAATCACAATGAAGTTGCTGAAATTATGATTGCGCCGTGCGATATACGACAAATTGAGTTTTGATGCAAATGTTTTCGCTTTATTTAAAAAAAAAATAAAACTAACGATTGCAGGAATCGTAACTGTAGAAAAGTAATTTTGTTGGGTATTTTTTAAAGGTCGAAATTTTTCTACAGGTTCTTACAAATAAACCGTGAGTACATTTTAAATGCCTTTGAGATAATTTAGTCAAAATGAAAATTTTGGATCAAAAGTGAATTTAATATCTCAACTTACTTAAATAAACGACGAGAAGTCCAATATGGTACAGATTATATAAGAAAGTTACTTTTGTGAAAACCTTCAAAGACACTCTATACTCTGGCCTACCTAACATGATGAATTTGAACTAACTGATACCACAGTTACAGCCAATGCTTTCGCAAAAACATTTTCAAACGTGTTTCACAAAGTTAGCTTTAGTTTTATCAGTGCCATTTTCATAGGTTCTAAATTTTCATACGTTTACAGTAGAAGAAGTTTCATTTAGAATTGAATAAAAATGCAGCAAAAATATCAAGCTAATTAACCTTACTTCGGTTTCCATGAAGAAATTGGAAAGGCTATGCAAAATTTTCGTAAAGGATGAGGCGATTACAACACCACTATACCTAAATCAGTTTACATTCACTCCAGGCAGATCTAATGATTAAATCCTTTACCTAGTTGCTGGCCAGATAAAGATCCCTGGACAATCAAGAGTTTGACTTGGATGAAAATAGAATTTAAACCTCCAAAGCTTCTAAACACAAAACTAAACTTTGCAACAGAGGTGAAATAGCTAGGTCTCACCTTTGGAAGCAAGTTAACATAGAATTCACACTTAGAAAAAAGAGTCAAAAGAGCATACAGTGCCGCTGAACAATGCCTCCGAACCGTGGGATGCACCTGGGGTTACGCCCCCAGAATCATCACATGGACTTACACTACCATCATAATAAGTACGGTGCACAAACTAGATCAAATTCAAAAAGCAGCATGTCTCAACACAACGAAAGCCACGAAAACCACACCAACCAGAGCCATGGAAGTATTTCTTAGTCTCACACTCCTTGATATTTACATCAAGGAGGTTGCTCTAACGACAATGTCACTTCTCCGCACGGCTGGAATAGAACCTGATGTAGAATCTGGTGAGGCGAGACATCGTTTTTGACAAGAGCTCCTACTACTTCAAGCGAACATGGACTGTATCTCAAAGTAATAATATCTTCCATAAAACATATAAAGTTATAACATAACAAATCAGGACCTGAGATATAAGGTGTGCTAGTCACATTTTTCAAAGAAAAAAAGTTTCCTCTACTTGTGTATTTACCGTAATAAATTATATCTATTGGAAAAGAGATTTAACTTCCTAGTTGCATTATTTCGCGAAAACAAAAGATGAAACTCTCGGTAAGTCACAAATCAAGTATTGTTAATTTGGGGTTAAGTTAACTCACATCAAAGTCAAAACTTTAAGAAAAAGTAAAGAAATCTAGCAAAAAATCGAAATAAATTGACCAAACAATTGATTTATGCAAAGACCCCAATATTTGTTAAATACACGGTTTCATTTGTTTAAAAAAATAAGTTTAACTTTAAAATGCCTCTCCTTACAAATGTACATTTGGTGACTTAACACACCTTACCTCTCAGGTGCTGAAATAAAAGAGCCTGAAGTGACAGATGGTTATAAAACAAAATGAGGCTCAGAAAGTGGAGTATACTCCAGATACTTAAACCTGTGAGCAATAGTATTAGTATAGTTCAAACCGAGCTCACGAGATTTCTCATAGCAGCAAAAGAAATCACCAGAAACAATATTACTGGACGAAGCATGCTCATCTATACAGATAGCAGACAAGCACTACTCAACCTGAACAGACCACGAATTTACTCTGGGTTAGTTTTAGAATGTCACCTTAAGAATAGATCAAAGGTCCACATCAAAAGATAATCGTCTTGCTGATTTAATAGCCAATAAGGCAGCCAACCTAATCCTTTTGGACCTAGCCCTTAGACTGACGACCTAATTAACTGACAAACCTAATTAAAAAACACTCCCTTGTTAAATTTAAGGATAGATGAGATAAAATAAGACGCTGTAGAGTTATCAGGGACCTTTTGAGTCATCCCAACAACACTACGGCAAACAAACACTTGACTGTGATCTGCGTCTGATCACAGACATTTTGTTTGGTCATTGCAAGTACGGAAAAATGAACCTAACAATTTAGGAAGACGAATAATGGGTCTAGTGAGGCCTAAGTTCCGTGGGGTAACCTACCCTTCACATGTTAGAGATACAGCAGAAGAAGTGTATTTCAAAATTAATTAGGTATTTAAATGGAACCAAAAATGCAAAACCTGACGGTATATCACCATTCACATCAAGAAACTGTTCACTTTCTTTGCCTTTACCTTCGAGTCTAATTTTTCAAAAATCGTTTGATTACTGAACATTTTCTACTATTTGTAACTACACTTCCTTGAGAAAATAGGATTGGAAGGGTCGTTATAGGCATTGAGACATTTCCTAAGTGCATTGACGACAGAAGGGGATACAATAGATCTTTTAGGTCGCAGTGTATTAACATCCCATTCTCAACATAACATAACATACTATTTGGAAATTTTCTAACTTAGTACCAATTTACAAGAAGGGGGACAAAACTGACATAAAACTCTACAGGCATTTTTATAACCTCTGCAATATCTAAATCTGTCTTGGCTTGTACGGTATTTTCCATATACAAATTACATTTCTTGATAGCCACATGGGTTTTATCAAGGACGCTCAACTGCAACATATCTTGGCATAGTCGCCAAATTGAAAGTGATTAACATGAATTACTTCTTGGGTAGGTACTTTATGGTGAATTAGGCAATTTTCCATTAATCCGTACTATTTTAACCAGTGGCGTAGCCACGAAGGGGGGATTTGGGGGGTCAGAACCCCCCCTCCCCCTTTTTTTTTGGAGGGTCCTTGCGTTACCATTTCCGCTATAATATTGACACTAGTCGCTATTGACTGTTTGTTTTTATTCACTTTCTTGATGGAACCCCCCCCCCATAGTTCTCAAAAACTCCTCCCATGAAAAATGGCTAGCTACGCCACTGATTTTAATCATATCTTTTCTTTGTTATTTTATTCGCCAATATAAAATTAAGTTATAAGTCTGACTATATATTTGTGACAAAAGCATAAAAACAAAATGTATATTTTACTTATTTTGCGTATATCATATCACAAATGTGTTTTTATAACTACTAAAATGTCTTTCACACAGAAACCTACACCTCTGTTGGAAAAATATCAAAGCGAATCATGTATGTACACTTTTTTGTTTATTTTCTTTACTTTTTGAATCAAGGTATGTAGAAATGTATCTAAATGCGAGAAACATTCCCATATTTTATCTGAAAAGAACCAATTTTCTATTAAAATTCATGTCCGGATTGTGATTTTGAATAAAAGTAGACAATTTATTGAAAATCATCTGAAAAATTGCACGATTTCATGAAACTGAATTGAAGTTTTTAAATATCTACCTGTTATAATGGTTTTTATGCCAGAAACAGACAAATAATTTACTGTATAATTTCTGATGTTTTTGTGCCCAATTTATTAAAAAACAACTACTAAACAATACCACTCATGTTTACTAAAAATGAAATATAGATTATCAATTTACAAAATCCGAATATGCAATTTTGCATAATATGCTCACAATTTACCGTCAAATTAAATTAATGTAGATTATGTAATTTATCACTAACAATATTATATTTTATATTATGGATTACATATTATTTTATACAGCGTGGAAGTTTTAACGTGTAACTTGGATCGGAAAAAATTTGGTAAAACCTTATGTTATAGGGTATAACATTTCTGACTGTCAGATTTGTTGTTTGTCTTACATCTAAAACCGGGAGCATTTGGCCTCTCAAAATTGTAAAATTTTAAAAGAGGACCAAATTTTCGAGGTATAACAACAAAAACTAATAGATTTTGTGCTGAATAAAGCACTTGTGTTTGTTGTTATACCTTGTGATGTAAATGTTTGTCTTCTTTTTTAAATTTGACAATTTCTAGAAGCCAAATAACCCCGGTTTAGGATTTTTAAATGGTGTTTTTAATCAACATGAAATGTCAGTCAAAAATGATGTACCTTAT